TCTTTGGTTCATCCGAATCTTTGGCTTCGGATCGAACAATGACACGAGGAAGTCGAGGTTCCTCACGAAGAACCTCAGTAAGTGCTTCACTCACATCACCAGAACGAATCCGCCCTGCTCCATTGTTCCAATTGCGAACTCTCTCAGATTCACGAGGATCAGTCTTTCTTGATGTCATGATTTGCGTTTGAAGGAATAAGATTCTCGAGATTAGGAAAGACGAACTCAATGTTTATAAGGGCACGAGAAAACGAATATTACTAACTGAAAAAGAGATAAAATCCCTAAAGCTTAGATATTATAGATCCATGGTCATCCCAAGCATTTTACAAAAGAAAAAACAATAAAAAAAAAAAGAAACACTAGATATCCGATTTAAAACAAAAGAAGATAAAACTAAGAATCAGTCCCATCCTCGGAAGAAGATTTTGCGACATACGAATCACCAGAAATCTCTGGGAGATCAAAGTCTGCAACAGACCAATCCGCAACGGCAGCCAATTCGACAAGCCCTTCGCAATCTTTCTCCATCTCTTTGAGACGAGCTAGCTCATCGTCGACATCCAGACCACACCACCTTTGATCTCATTCAGCAGGTCGATGTTTGTGACCACCTCCCTTAGCTGGATCTCTGCGTCAACCTCCTTCTTTTTGTCTAGCCATTTCTTCTCCATGAGGGCCAGGATCTCTTTACAACGGTCGGTGATCTCACGGCGCATCACGCGAGATTTGCGACGGATATCTCGATCACTCTCCGCAAGAAACTCCGCGACCAGCATCTTTTGAGTGGCGACCTCGGTCTCGAACACCATCCTTTCTTCGTGAGCCTTCTTCCACTCGCCCCTCAGATAATCTGCCTCTCCGGTCTTCTTCAGATCCTCCTTAACCTTACAAAGAGATTCGTCAAGACTCTTCACCTCGGCCCGCGACCTCGCCAGATCCTTGTCGCCGCAACCCAATAGCGAACATAACCTGTGGAGCAAGAGAAGCATCAGAACAAGGTCGATCGTAGGAAAATACCACAAAAGAAAGTATAACTCACCTTGGAATTAGCGTCCGCGACCTTCGAATACGCCTCCCTTTCCTCATGAGAAGCCGAGGGTAGAATAGAAGGGCCCAGAGCCGACCTATCACAGCTTCGGAGAGATCACCGACGATGCTTACGGTCGCTAGTAGGAGAATCCTCTTCTGAGTCAGCACTCAAAGCGATCGGAGATCCTCCACCTCCAGAAACTCCCTCGACGTCAGTGACATCGACAGGAATCAAAGTCGAATCCTCGGGATCCCTGTTTCCCTTAGCACGACTCCAGATTCTGAATGACGACCTCCTAGCTAATTGTCTGTCTGACCTAGCAGAAAAAGGGGGTCGTTAGAAGGTCCTGCAGAATCCTTAAGCTTAACCAAGCAGCTGGCAATTGCCGGAGCCTGACTAGTCCCGTCAGGCAGCAAGAAAGCAGCGCGAATTCGCTCACCGGTAAAAGAATACCAATTCAGATGATCTTGTTGTAGCATCTTCAATAAACCACGGATCTCATCCGTCATCGGAGAAGTCCCGGAATTCACTAGAAAGCTAAAAAGAAAAACCAGCATTCAGATTCTAAAGGATCAAAATATATATTAGCGATGAGGAATCGAAACTAACCTATATCGTCGGACCAACACCGAGGAATCCTCTCAACGTCAAAATCACCTATCGACGAACAATCGACCTTGAAGACAAAGAACGTCTCTCTCCAATTCTCGTCGCGATATGGAACTCCCTGAATGACGTGACGTCCAACACGCGGCGACATAAGAAAAGTCCCCGGGCTTTTGTCGTTCCTCTTCAACAAACATAAGTGACGAAGCTCCTCCAGACCAAAGCGTAAGCGCTCCTCACGAGCTCTTACCACGAGTGCCAAGAGGTGCCTCAAGAAATTCGGGCACATCTGGGTAAGACATATGCCCAATTCAGCTGTGATTTCAAGAATTGGGGCAAGAATCGGGAAGAATAAGCCACACGATTTGAAGAACGTGTGATACGCTCCGCAGAACCCCTCTCGAACGGTCTCAGGGGTCTCAAGCGTAGTATCCAACTCGAGCCGAACGCTCCGATCAACGCCATGAGACGAGTATAAAGCTTCGAGATCTTCAGCTTTAGTCGTTGGAAGAGGAAAATTAAACGTTACTTCCATCTCTACATAAGAAAAAGAAAGTCGCACGAGCAAGACGATTTCTTGTAGAAAGAAAGAGAGCTCCAGTGAAAGAAAAGAAGTTAAGAGAAAACAAGAAGAAACTCTTGTATTATAAGGCAATTCGCCGACATAAAGAAACGGCTTTATCATTAAAGCAAGAAGATAATAATTAGGTTTTTCAATAAAAACGGCATAAGTAGCCGTTACGAGCACACGCCAACGGTCCATTGACAGGGAGCAGACACGTGTCAAGTCGCTGCACCGCATAAGCCAAACCATCTTTAAACCGACTGAGTGCGAGCAAGCCATCTTAACCTTTTAATAAAAAAAATAAGATTGGGGGACAAATGTTGGGCCCACCTGGAGTGATCGCTGACTCGATGTTGAGCCGGACCCTACGAGGTCGAGGATGAGATTTCGGAGATCGCGGTGACGGTTAGAGGACAAAGAAGCTATAAAAAGAGAACTAGGAAGGACATTCAAGACACGAGAAAAACCTAGAGAAATTCACCAATCACATCGACCTCATCTCTTAGATTTCTAGTTTTCTTTCTTGTACTCTTTGTTGTTATTTCAATCTTGTTCATCACATTGTAAACGAATTCTACATTCAATAAAAGTCCATTTTTGTCAACCAAAGTCCGATTATATCGTTGTGTTTAATAACATCGTTGCCCACATCCTTTGTCTTCCCCTGATTGAACTCTCGATCTCTACAAAATACTGAGTGTGGATTTTAGGATCTACAACCGTTCCTTCATTTCTTTTATTTTTTCATTTATTTTTCCCTTTTTTTTTCCTTAGGACCTCAGCTTTAGAAGTTCCTATAGACATGCTCTAATATTCCAGCACCAAAGAGACCATATTCTACAGGTTGTGCATGGGGCATTAAGAGATTATCAACAATGGCAAGATGCAAGCAATCAAAGAAAAGAGGAGGATCAGTATAGTACATCCACTCGTTTGCAGGGAGAGCAAATCCAGGTACCACCTTACGTAACTCTCCTTATTATTGTCTTGTTGATGCTTCATGGAAAGGATCAAATGAGCATGGAGGAATTGGATGGTTCTTGTATAGAAAAGAAGGCATCCACCAGCTTCAAGGCTCATCTTCTATCCATTCAACTAATACCCCCACTAGAAGTTGAAGCCCAAGCAATGTTGATGGCAGTACAACAACAAAGAAGGTTTGGCTTTAAGCAAGTTACTTTCATAAGCGACTGTAAAATGCTTGTAGATGAGTTAAATCAGTCGAGCACTGAAGTAACCATCAAAGGAGTCCGTAACACGGAGATACACTCTATGGTGCAAGACATTCTCGAGATCTCAAAGGAAGATCACTTTACTTTCCACCATGTATCAAGAGATTGTACAATCTATGTTGATGTATTAGGTAAACATGTAAGGACAAGAAACCAAAACTACGTAGTTACATAGATGCAAAATTAATAACACATAAAATTGACAAAAAGAAAAATTGAGGGGTAAAAAGTAAAAACTATCCGGTTTGATTTTTAACAATAATTTTCTATTTTACTGTAAATTATTAGAACTATAGTCTTACTATTTCAAATTATATGATTGGCTGAAAACACAAACATTAAGACATAGATTTTTTTTTTCTAAATGGTAGCATTGAAATATACTAAGCTAAAACTAATTCAGCTGATCAACAAAAATATATAAGACACTATTGGTCAAAAGCTTTCAATAAAACTAAAATAAATATTAAAATATCATATATTTTAAAATATAAAAACTCTTTATAACATCATTTATTTTGGAACGTAGAGAATAATATTAACTATTTCTTTCAAACACAATTTTAGGGTTATTAAGAAGATTTAAGAATACTGGTTAATTTGCACCATTCAAAACCGTAAAAAAATTATGGATAATAATTTTATTCATATCTTAAAAAATTTATGTAAAAATAATCTTTACTTTGTATAGTTATTGATAAATTATATTTATAATTTGAAGTTTATATTTTTGTGTGGAAATATTAATAAACATTTAATCAAACTTTTGTACCAAAAAGACTTGGACAAACTTCATTCATCACCAAGTGATGACAATACTTTTCTGTTCTTTTTTTGTCGGAAAAAAGTTTAATATGCATTATTAGTAAGATAATCTTCCATTGCTGAGTCATGGCGTAGTGTCCATGTTACTCTAGGCAAAGAAATGGATTTCCAATTAAAAGGCCATAGTGTTCAATTACAACAGATCGATAAAGATCTCGATCTGAACAGGTACCGACAGTGTAAAACCGTCGTTATGCCAAAGAGATATGCATAAAAGATTAAGAGCACATCTGACACATACTAAATGACATAAGCCTATTTTTAATATTATTAGGGCGCAAGCGCGGAGACGGTGATTTATGTAATAAATATTTGAAGGTATATTTGAAGATGATGTTGTGTTTTGATAAGGTCTTTGATTTATTAATATTTGTATTTTTATAGATTTGAGCTCCGGTATTGACGTCTATTTTATGGTGTTTTCGGATGTTTATTTGAAATTAATGTTCACTATCTCAAATTTTGTAGTTTCTTTTTGTTAATTTGCAATTAATCCTTATTTGTGTTTTAAAAAAAACATTTGAAATTATACAATATCATACGGTAAAAGATAAAAGAATGAAGTAAGATTGTGATCATAGATAATTGATTTATATATCTATCTAAAAGAGCTAGAAAATTATTGGTAAACAGAGTAATTTGGATTTTTCCTATTACAAAAAGTCTGGAAACATTAAAAAATAAAATAAAAAATGAAAGAGCTCTAATAAAAAAAAGAAGAAGCAAAACTACTAAATTTTCACTCATTTTGGCAGTCCACCCATTTCGTCACTTTCAATACGTTAAGCATTCTTCGTGCAGGTCTCCAAGACTCCAACGTTTCCATGCCGCAACATGTTGATTTCCTCGATTCGAACAAAAACTGTAAGCAAAAAGATAAAGAGTTTGGCTTACTTTTCCGACAAGAAACTGTTTCACCATGTATAAGAGTAAGTCATAATATAACATCATCATGAGAAGAGGACATACATTGTTTTAGGGGAAGAGAAAACTCATTGATTTGTGGTTGGTGATGATGGGTCATAGTCATAAGTTAACTCTCACCAGCTTTCACGAATCTTCCTTTCACTCTTTTTATTGTGTCAGCTCTCACTTTGCGAGATCCATATCAAATCTGTTTCCAACAACTAGAACTCAAACAATTAATCTTGAATCAAAATTTTCTTAAAACTTTGTTTTGTAACGCTGTTCAATGAGTTAGACGATTCACCATGGGAATCTAATATTGAAGTTGGTTCTCCATTGCACCATCATTGGCATCATGATTCTCAAGCTCTAGCAGCTAAAAACATCGCTTTTTCTTTCTCAATGTTTCTTCAACTATCAAAATCTTAATGTTTTGCATTTTACCAGCTTATCTTCACTACCGGAAAGCTTGACAAAGTCGTGCCGAGCGTTTGCTATCTTTTTATGCAATGTTGATGTTCGCAAATGCCTTATCCCTTGGAACTCCTCATCCACTAACTTCTGAACAGCCTGAAAACTCACAGTTTCATTCATTACCTTATTTTAACTTCAATATGGTAGAAATACAAGAATTAATAGCAGCAAAGATGCAAACCGTTGTAATAGTGGCAGTCACTAAGACGATTTGAAATACTTGGTCATTTGTTTTCAAAGCACAATGTTTCAGTGGAGCAAGGAACTAGCGAATGTCAGGACCAAAACTACGATCAAACATAGCGTCTGCCTCATCTAGCACCTGTGTGAATAAAAAAAAAAGATTCTTACTGCCCTTTATTTTCTTAATTGCAGATCTCAAAATAAAAAGAACCATAGAACATAATGTTAAGATCACAAAACAAAATGGAGCATACCACAATAAGCGATATCTCCATAGACCATGTTTCCTTCTTTGATATGCTGAAGAATCCTACCACGAGTTCCAACAACCATGTCTATTGAATTGTTCAAAGAATCCTCCTGTGGTCTTATTCGAGAACCCACCCCTAACCAATATAGATCCAAACCTTGCGTGCTGGCTGACAGACTTGGCAACATGGTGAACTTAATGCAGAATCCTTGATTAGTTTTTTCACATTTGCTGCCTGCCTAACAACAGATTCAACTCTCTCTTCTCTTTTAACGAATCATTAGGGATTCAAGACATCAACAATACTCTAATCACATATTACACCATTGGTCATCCAAGACTTTCTGGATAATAAACAATCCAAAGTATCCCTCTTTTCCAGAAAAATCCATAAACAAAAGCCACAAAAAAAAAATCCACTGGAAGTACCTTCTTAGATAGTTCATAGGTGGGACAAAGAACAACGGTCCTAGGATATTTTACCCAGAGATGCCTCATCTTCTGTCATCAGCTGCAACAAATCAAATCAAATACAACTTAAATCGACATGTTCTCAAGAACACCAATCAAATCAAATTGAATGTTTGCTGATACCAGATGACATATATTAAGGCTTTTAGTCTCATTATCCATTAGCTATCGAAGCATATAAAATTGAAGAAAAATCACACTAACAACAAAGGGACGATGGAAACGTCACCTCTGCATCTGTTGGTTTCTTCCGCAAGTTTCCCTGATAGCTCAAACGATGGTTCTTCCTGCATAATACAACAAAGTTAGAACTGAAGCTCGAATAGATTGATGAGCCAAGAGAGCATACAACTACATTGGAAATTTAAATTAGTAGATGCTTCGTATGACAACACCTTTTACTTCGCTGCCAAAGCTTCTTCAGCAGCTTTCATTCTAGCAATCAAACCATCTTCACCATTTCTGTTTAAGAAAACCCCGTAACATGGTTAGACAAAATTCTGAAAATTTTCAAGGTCAGATCTCTTAAAAAAAAAAAAAAAAACTTCCGGTTCCTCGCCGGTCCCTCTTGCATTAGATCCCTGAAAATATAAAAGGAAATCAAAATAACTCAAGAACTGACTAAGACTTGTGAGTATTCACCAAAACTAGTGAAGGGTTTTGGTCATAGATAGCATGACACAAAGGTTAAAAACGATAAAACTACACACGAAAATTACCAAAAGAATAATTCAAACTTCTAAATCAACCCGTATATATAATGACTTTTCATAAGTAAAATAATAAAGAAACATAGAAACGAAGTGTCACTGAAGATGCTGAAGGGCACAAAAGAAGCTATCTTAACACACATATAGCAAAAAATGGCTGATCAAAATTTAACAAATCACAACCTAAACAGTTCAAAGTTCCCAACTTTAAGAACACAATAGCACCAAAAATCATCACAATCTCAGAAAGAAAAAAAAAAAAAACTTAAAATCACAAACTGATAAACCATTTCAACGTTGATAATCTATATTATAATCTATATTTAACAAGATCCTTAATTAGTTCTCAGGGATCTCAAGCTCACCCTCCTGAATCTCTTGCAAAAGATCCTTAGGATCCTTCCCATCAACAGTACACCCAACAGAAACACACGTCCACAAAATCTCCCTCACAGTCCCACTCAACTCCTTCGCAATCGACCTCGGCCTCATGATCCTCGCGATCTCAATCACGTCATGAAGCGAAATGTTCCCGTTATGCTTAATGTTCTTCACCTTCTTCATATCCCTCTCGGGCTCCTTCAACGCCTTGATCACCAGCACCGTCGCGGAAGAGACCACCGTGACTTTAGCCTGACGAACAAAAAAAAAAAAAAAAACTTATAGTGTGTCATGAAGAACACGATTTCTGAATATTTTTTTTTCTTTTGAAAAAATGTTAAATTTATTCAGATCAAAAAGGGTTTTGTACAAACTAATGCTAACGTATAGTTTGTGAAAGTGTTGAAGAAAAAACAGAGTTTTATTCTCTAGTCTTAAACCAAACAGGCATAATACATTGGATGAAGTGTTTCCCTTCTGAAATTATTATATTCGTACTAAGAAAAAGCAAATATAGCATTAGTAGTGATCAACTAATGACGCGTTTCTTGACCGGCAGAGCATGTAACGCATTGGTCTTATGCAGTGTGAGGCCGAAGCTCTCTTCCATATCCAAGTCCCCAGAAACGATGCCGTCTGGAAGCTTCCAGTCAAATGAATAGAGAAGGGAAGCAAGCATGAGAGGCACTGTCTTCACAGCCAAAGGCAACCCCGGACATATTCTTCGTCCGGCTCCAAACGGTGTAAGCTCATAATCTCTGCCTTTCACATCAGTCTCTTTCCCCAAAAACCTTTCTGGTTCGAACCTGTTCGGATTCTCCCACCTACTCGGGTCTCGTCCTACAGCCCACACGTTCACCAAAACCTGAGTGTCTTTAGGCACAACAAATCCAAGAATTTCCACATCTGTTTCTGCTTTTCGTGGGAGGAGAAGCGGAGCAGCTGGATGGAGACGGAAAGTTTCTTTAACAACAGCTTGTAAATAGGGCAGTTGTGAGATATCTGATTCTTGCACGACACCGTTTTGGCCTATCACACTATCGATCTCGTCTTGAACTTTTGTCATTGTTTTTGGGTTTTGGAGTAGCTCTGCCATTGCCCATTCCACGGTACTAGAGTTTGTGTCTGTGCCGGCTGAAAATAGGTCCTGCCACATATTATACATAGTTAAATTCCAGATTATATTAATTGTGAAGAATAAAATTGGTGGAATTTGATATATTTTTACAAAGCATAATGAAGTTGTCATCATTTTTTTTTTAAAATAACTGGTTCTCTACAATTTTGTAGATGAATCAGTTTGTAAATAAAATTATTTATCTATCCTCTTATACCTTCTTTATTCCACTTACAGTTCATGTCCCCTAAATTAATATAGATTTCAATTAATTCTAAATTTCATTAGATTGATGTGTTTGAATATGAAGACTGATTAAAAAATATTGTATCTCGAAACTAATTTGGCACCGAGATGATTATACTGAGTGTTGATTATGATAAATTTATATATCCGATTCTTTTGTAATGCTCATTCAGGTGACCATACGGTCCATATCTGCAAAAAAAAAGAGAGAAAACTTACGAGAAGAAGGTGTTCAATCTGATTAATGTTGAGTTCAGCTTCATCTCCTTGGTTGAGATCAATAAGAGCATCAAGAAAATCTTTGCTCGAAACGTCTTTATTTTCCGTCTGCAACGAGTTTCCCTTGAGCCGAGCATAGTACAACTCTCTGAAAACCCTAAACAACCTATCCGAGCAGTCCTTCACTTTCTTTCTATTACCTTGCAGGTCAAGAAATCTCATAAATGGGAAATAGTTAGCAAGGTCGGGATTTCCTATAGATTCCATGACCCCAGTCACCAACTCCTGAAAGTCGCTGGTCTTCCTAGAGTCGTAGTTACCAAGGTCGACTGAAAACAAAATATTCGAAATAATATTGAGGGCTGTGACGAAGGAAGCCCGAGAAATATCAACAGCTTCTTCTCTATCACTGCATTCACTCACGAAGTTGATAAGTTCTTGCACCTTCTTCATCCTTAGAGCTTGGGTAGCCTCGATACGCTGTGGTGAGAACAGCTGAGTAACTGATATTTTCCTCAACAGCCTGAAAGATATAACATGTTTTTTTTTTTAATCCAATACACAAATCTATTGGTTCCGTTGAGATTAGCTATATATTGTGGATCCAGAAGATCATCATGGTCAGGGATCTTAAATTTTCTAGTTGATAAAAATAAAAACAATGACTTACCTCCAAAGAGGAGAAGACGGATGAAGCCAAGCGAAGGAAAAAGAATGATGATCAATGGACCGTATGGCCTCATTGAGGTAGCGGCCAGACAAAATTTGGTCGTGTGTTCTTAAAACCTCTCGTGCAGCGTTTGGTGAAGCTACGACTACCGTGTTTAGACATCCAAGCTTAAGACTCATGACTGGCCCATATGTTTTCGAGAGGTGGGCGAATGAGCGGTGCGGATTCTTTCCAACAAGGTGCATGTTTCCGATAATGGGTAACCGTGGAGGTCCTGGAGGCAGCGTTGCGGCACCATGAGAGCTCTTTTGTGATCTTACGGTTTTCAAGATAAGGAAACATGATAAGATAAAGCAAACGAAAAGGAACAGAGCTTGTCCTGAGATGATGTCCATCTGTGTGTTCTCAAGTGATAACTACACAAAAATCACTATATATATATATATATATATATATTATTTCCTGAGATGATGTCCATATGTACCATGGTAGAGCATCTCCCGTTGGAGTCCTTAGGGAAAAAATAATTAAATAATCAGTAGATTCTACAATAAGTTAAGGATTCGATACTTAAAATCACTAAATAAAGATTGTTTTTTAGCGAATCTCTATAATATTATTTGAGAAGTCAGTTTCCTACGTGTCGCGCTCACATTAACTCTCGCGATGGTTGATTACATAGATACCCTTAATGAATTTTTATATTTTAAGAATATTCTTTTTTTATTTAGTTTTTTTTACTTCTTTTCAAATAACATATATAATAAAAAGGAAATATTTCTAAAAAAAAATTAAAATAAGAAAAACAAAATATATGTATATAATATGACTTTATTAAAATGGAAAGTTCACAAAATAGTAATATCTCCATTAATATATATTTTTAAATAACATATAATATATTTTGAGAAGTCAGTTTCCTACGTGTCGCGCTTTCGTTAACTCTCGCGATGGTTGATTACATAGATACCCTTAATGAATTTTTATATTTTAAGAATATTCTTTTTTATTTAGTTTTTTTTACCTCTTTCAAATAACATATATAATAAAAAGGAAATATTTCTAAAGAAATTTTAAAAATTAAAAACGAAATATATGTATATAATATGACTTTATTAAAATGGAAAGTTCACAAAATAGTAATATCCCCATTAATATATATTGTTAAATAACATAAAATATATTTTCAAAATAATAAAAATATATATGTTCATGAACATCCAAAAATTTATCAGTTACACTTTATTTATTTTTTTTAGAAATCAACATATAATTTGATAAATATTATGAAAATACATGTATATTTAAGCGATAAATAAAACTAATTTTATTTTACTTAACTAAAATAAAGAGTAAATTTTTCTACGTGCCGCG